ATAGTAATAATAATTAATAATAATAATAATAATAATAATAATAATAATAATAATAGTAATAATAATAATAATAGAAATACATTCAATGTTTATTAAAATAATTTACTATTTCCCGAAGACATTAAAATATTTATGGGGTCGTATGACGTATACTTTTTAGATGAATGAGGAATATAAAATAAATGATTGTTGCGAGTGTAGTGGTTTTTGACTTTGAAATTTAATTTACTTAATAAAAACGAATCATCAATCTTGTTATTTAGCAATTTGGTGAGATAGGTGTTGTATGATAAGTGTCTAAGTACATTTAAAGGTTCTAAGTTTAACAATTTTAAAATATTTTCGTAACCAGAGTGAGGAGTTCTTTGAATATTACATTTATGACCTATAAATCTGAGAGCTTTATTTTGAACTTTTTCAAGTTGATCATTATGTCCTACATTGTTGTGGTCCCAAATTAATGGAGCGTATTCTAATAAAGAACGGACTAGTGAGGTATATAGACACTTGAAAGTAAGTGGATCATGAAAATCGGAACAGTTTCTTTTTATCATACCAAATACAGCTAAAGCTTTATTGTTAATCGCTGATACATGAGCATTGAATAATAGCTTGGAATCAAATAAAATCCCTAAATCTTTAAACAATGACGAACGATATAAGGTAATGTCACATATATGGTAATTAAAATGCAAGGGATTATGCTTTTTGGAGTAAGTAACAATTTGGCATTTGTCAATATTTAATGAAAGGCTATTTGTAATGCACCATTCGTTAAATGAAGCTAATTCACTTTGAAGAAGATTAATATCATAGGGGGAAGTAATTGATTTGTAAATGTTTGCATCGTCGGCAAATAATAAAATGTTGGAGTGTGTAATGGAGGATACAGCATAATGTATAAATAAATTAAATAGGAGAGGGGAAAGGTGATCGCCTTGAGGTATTCCAGAAATTACGTTTATAGGTGTTGATATAAAACTTTTATATTTGAAAAATTGGATTCTTTGACTTAGGAAAGAGTTAAACCATGATAGTAGGGGATTGGCAAAGCCGATTTCCTGTAGTTTATTGATTAATAAAACGTGGTTGTTTGAAAAAGATTAAGAAATGCTAGGTTTTCTAAAAAAATAGCTTCAGGAGAGGATAGGTTTAAGTTAGCATTTAATGATGCTTTATTTAAATTTGGCAAATTAAAATCACCGAAAAGTAGAAGATCATCATCTGGGCGAGAAGAAATTAGGTTAAATATTCATTATACAAAGAAGATGGAGAATTTGGCGGAAAATAGATAAATTAAAATTACTAACTACCAGATCAGAACTATAATAATGAAATGATTATGTTGACCAATACTTTGCAACTTCAGTCACTTATTTCGTGAAAATTATAATCACAATTATGATTTATATAATTTATGAGTAACGTGGAAAAAAAATAAAAAAAGTTCTTAAACTTTTATGTCGTTAAATATTTTCTGTTAATATAATAATTACAGATACAATTTAGTTTAATATAAGGTCATTAAATGAAATTTTAATGAAAATAAAATATGAAATCCTTGTCCCAGTATAATCTAACTAATAAAGCAGCCAGGTTTTTGTAATTAAGGTAGCTACTACCAAGTACTATTAGGTATAGTATTACAGTGAAACTTTCATATTATAGTTATTATAACGAACTTGGATGGAAAATCAAAATTAATCAGTTCCTTATTTTCAGAAATTTGTTGATTATGAATCAGTCAGGACTTATTCTATTGTACCTATATTACATAAGCTATATGTATAATAGATTTATAAATAGATATACTTTTTTTTCACCTACGATGTATCAACATATGAAAATTTCTGTGTATAATACAAATTAATATGTGCTTAAATTAATCATTATGCTTAAAATATGTAGTTACTGTAAGATTATCATCGAAAGGTATCAAATATGTCATATTTCCTTTTAACTCCGTTAAACTTGATGTATTTTTACTTAAAAGAAAATTGTGTTGAATTGGATAGTTTTTTGTTTTTTCACATGGATACATTTTATTAAATACCCGACGATATTCTCCCTGTAATAAGATAAATATATATATATAGTTATACTTACGAAGATTTCTCAAATATAAATTATGTAAATTAACGTAATCATCAAAAAAATAATTTATGTTTAATAAATCAAGCTGATTATTAATGGTTATACGACAAAATATCTCCATTAAAAATATCTCCGTCAAAATATCTCTACCAAAATATCTCCAGTATAAAATATCTCCGTCAAAATGATCTCCAATACAAAATATCTCCCGATTTATGCCATAGCTATCTGATAGAGAAAATGTTATTGACGCTGATAGTGAGTGTACTTTGTACTTCCCTATCATGGTCCGCTTGGCGCTTACCAATACAGATTAAGTTGCAGATAGGTAATTTTATTTGACATTTTGATGATAAAAATTTAGACGAGAGAGCCGGAACTGTGTCACACACTGACACTGCGTGACATTGGTTTGTGTTACGTGCATGTGCGTTAACGTACTATTACCTAAATATGCCTTTAAAATTTGTTAAAATTAGCTACGAAACTTGGTTATCCTATAAAGCGGCAAACATTACAATTCGTGGGGTCTCCGGGAACTTATGTACACCAATTGGTGTAATTACGGCTAGCATAAAGTCCAGATTAAACGCGTTCGAAGCCAGTCTTCAGTTTTTTATAATGCAGAACGTGGCAGGTACACTACCTACAGTATATCCCGAAGAAAACATAATGAAGGTGATGGCGGAAAAACGGTTTTATACGATGGAACAAAAAATTGATAAATATAAATATAAATCGGGAGATATTTTGTATTGGAGATCATTTTGACGGAGATATTTTATACTGGAGATATTTCGGTAGAGATATTTTGACGGAGATATTTTTAATGGAGATATTTTGACGGGTCACCAATTTTTTGATTATCATTTTTCTTATGATTTCAACAATTGGAGAATGTTTCACACGTTTTCAACAGTAAGAACAAATAACATACATGAGTTATAAAATATATTGATATATTAAAATGGATTGATATGCTTAAGCTTTAACCTCTAAATATTGCCGGTAGTATTTATATAAATATATTCAACAGGAAAACAGTGATTAAATTGTCCCGGAAATTATAAATTCACATATTTGAATAAACAGTATCAATGCAGCAAAACAAATTACTTGTGATTCAATTTTTACGAATTACAATAGTGCAACAATAACAATAATGTGTAAATATAGGCTATATTATACTCTATATCAGAGGTTGCCAACATTATTGATATTGATATATTTAGAGCGATTGACATGCTTGAGCTGTAACCTCCAAAAATGTATAAAAATATCTATACAATTTTAATGAAAAAACATAACAAAAAATTATATCCGGAAATTATACATTTCCAAATGTTAATTGAATCGTAAAAAACGAGTTACGCATGTTTCAATTTCCTCAGATATTCTATTGACAGTATAGGTACAACTCGTATGTTAGAAAAATTTATACAATTATGCTTTAGTTCAACCAGACGATATAATAGAATTTGTTGTACTACGCTTTATGAGTGTTCTGTCCAGATACAAAATAATGTTTTTCAAATCAAAATCCATTTTCTACTAAAAAATATTTAGGTGATTATTTTTCTAAGAATATCGTGTTGTATATTATAGTATATGCACTTTTCAGTGATATACCTCTATCGACACTTGAATTACCAAAACACCATAAATCAACTGGTTACAGTTTTGCTCTCTAGAAGTCGATATCGATAATTTCCTGTTTAGACTTTTAATTTTCAACGATCATAAATCAACCGGTTACAGTCTACAGATCAGATTCAAGGAGTACGTAGAATTGTGTGGCTACTAAAACAAAACATATAATTTTTCAGGTCGGAAACACATTTGTTAAAATTTGTGAAAACAAACATGAATAATTCACTTATTCAAAATACTTAGCCCTTACTACGACTGCCGCTTCACACGTACAATCGTCGTACCTACATTATCGCCGACATACTCGACGACAACGGGACTGCTCCATGCATGCGCATATCTTATATGCTATAATTTTTTGTGTCACATCTTCCTTTCTTGTTTCCCAGGCCTGACCTATCTTAATATCTAAATTACTAAATTATTTCCCATCTATATTACGTGTACAAATATTATATTAATTTACATTAAATAGACAACTGTCTGCAATATACGACAATCGACATATCAAATTTAAAATTCGGTTTACGGCATTTACAATGCAGTGTACTTAAACTAATTTAAATTATTAAATTATAAGTATGCCATGGTAAAGGCAATAATAATAGTAAGGTACTGTGGTAACGAGAGTGCAGTGTACTTTTTTTTTTGAAACCTATGTACTTCAACGAGTTAAGAACGACGGTGCAATCAAAATTAGATAGCTAGACTTCGTTTATTAATTAATATTAATTTTTTTTCACTCTGACCAGAAAACTCAATAGCAATAAATCTATTATTATAATAACTATTGTAGTATAATATTAAGCTTAGTACACAATAGGTTCATTAGTCATGTTGCCATAATATAATATTTATCAATCGGAATATTATGTCAATATGAACGTGAACGACTTATCAGTTAGATATGACTGATATGAGCTGTTCATTTTTACCACGGTATTCTGTTATACCTTATTTTATTTGTGTTTCAAGCACGGTAATAGCATATTAATAGCACAGAATAATGGTACTATTATGATAGTACTATAATAGACCTATAAATGTATTACTTTAACTAACAAGGTTAAAAATACTTGTTAGGTCGTCCGTCTGCCCACAGTGCAGGTATGCTCTCCCCCCACCACCCCGAAGGTGCCTGTAGATGTAGGGAGCTTCTAGAGCAGGGGTGGTGAACCACATTTTTTTTTTTTTGGGTCAAGTGCCAAAATTTAAAATCAAGTTTTTTCTATATACTTTTTGAATGTTTAAATCATTCAGTTTGTTTTAAAAATGCGTTTTTTTTCAGCAAAAGCTTCTGGGCTGAGACTAAAGAGGTCATCCAAAGGCTCTGCTAAGCCATAGTCTTTGTCCGGCGCACTAGATTTTGTTTTCGGTTTGGATCGTACCATTCCCGCAGCGAAAAGTTTTCGTCGTCTCATTGTTGTGTTACTTCGTATCCGGTCTATATTATTTGAATATTTTTTAGCAAATTTTCCTATTATAAATATATTTTATTATTACAATGTACAGGTACTTATGTATAAATAAATAATTTTAAATAATTTACTGGGGCTTTTTAGCATAATTTTCTTGTTTATAGTTCGTATGTAGTTTCCTGAATTAGGTGCAATAATAGCAGCATGGACCCGTGTTTGATAATTATTAGATTGTGTAAAATTAATTCGCTTGCCTTCGATATGCTTATTAATAAGGGAATTAAACTGCTCACATGGGTTGTTATCGACATCCTCTAACAAGCTATCAGTGTTTATTTGCAGTATATACACTATGTTTCGGAATTCAGCAATAAAACCCGATATTTCTGCCTCAGGAACAAAATTTATTTTACAAACTTTTGGCCCCGTACAAAAGTATGAAGCACAACTGTCTTGTTGACCCAAACGGTGGTATGGAGCGTTTGATATGTCTTTTCTAAACCCTAAAAATATTGTTCAAACAAAATTAAAAACAAGGAAATATGAAATAACTATAAACATTTTTAATGAAAATATTTTTTAATTATTATATAGTTTTAGTTTTATAAATGTTATATATTTGTGTGTGTATAAATTTGGTAATTCCAAAATATTCATAAAATTTGATATATTTTTTTTTATGTTCACCTGTTGTTTTTTGCTGAAGTGTCAAATCTGTGCTCAAATGATATCTAACTGCTTTCCTAATATCAGACCGAAATCTCAGAGTGTTGTTTATTATAAAATTACGTATGATAATGGGATATTCTGTTCTTTTTGAAAGGGCACTCAATTTCGTCATATAATTTCGCAGTAGATGATTTCTGGATTCAATTTTTTTAATTTTGAAATCTGGTCCATACGGCATAACTTCGTTTATTCGTTTGGTGACGCTACTGTCACCGTCGCCTAAAAAATATAATTAATAAAATATAGAAAATGGAAAATATAATTTCTTGAAAAATATAATTTACCAATTAATTTCACTGCTACGGACGTACTATTATGTCGCACGAAAACATACCATTCCCTGCTACAGACGTACTATTATGTTCCTTTATCTATAAAACGAAATACGCAGGTTATCACATTAGTGATTACACCGAAAAATGCAGATAATAGATTATAACTTCGGTATATTTCAAGTCAATTTTTTTTTTTTTTTTTTAACTTTAACTTTAACTTATGGTTCAATTTAATTTAATTAATCATTTAGGGACAAAAAAAAAAAAAAAAAACAAAAATAATTTAGCAGAGATGAGTGTTTTAGGAAAAAAAAACTTAGCAATAAAAAGGTTAAACCCTGCATACTCATGCTGTTAAGAAATCCTTCCATTATTCCGTCCGCTTCCATTGCTGTTGATGCTTTATTCCAATTCAAAAAACATTTGTGAGTTAGTACGTCTATATTTAAATTATTCGCCCGTTCACAAACGGAACAGTACCGATTGCGAATTCCAACTAATAACACCTTTTTGGTGTCATAACCTCTAATAGTAGCCTGTAAAATTATTTAAAATTATATTATTAAAACAGGTACCTATACGAGGTAACAAAATAATTGATAAATTTACACAATTTTAAATACAGCTACAGGTAAAAAAATGTAAAAGCTTTGAATTCTTTTAAGATCAAATTTAATCAAATTTGTCTAAATCATTATATTATTTTTTATATATATTGATAAAAACTGTTGTGCTCGGACAAAAAGTTTGAATTTAAATTAAACACATCATTTACAGTGACCTACCTAATTATGATAATAAATAATAATAGGTACAAAAAAATAAAAACTATTGTTTCTTACCGCTCCAGAAAATGAGTTATACTTAGTCTTATACGATCTTTTTGACCATTGGCCATCTGTTATTACAGTACATAGCGGTGAACCATTTTCATCAACATTACCACTGTTGATGACAATTTGCCTTTCTTCATTACCAGCTTTTATCATCTCATCAAAAGCCGTTTCTTGAATAGAATTACTCATAACGGACAATTTTTTTAAATAAGATACTGTTGATAAAGAAGGGAAATCTATAGATGCCGACAACTCGCTAAGCTATGTCCAATACCTTAAATATAAATAATTAATACAAATTGAAAATAATTTTAGAAAAATAATTTAATTACCAATTGCTAAACTGTCATTTACAATAGCTTTATTGATGGGCAAATATTTATCTTTATTCTGAATATTTTCAGATGTAAAAGATGAACTCTTATTAGTTATTACACATTTTACACCAAAACTAAATACGGACAGGTATCCTTTATGGCATTCTGATTGAAATGCCATATCCAAAAATGAACAGTCAAAAGGTTTATGTCGACTATTTTGTATTTGATCAAACAAGTGTTTGATATCCAAAATTCTCCGGCCTTCAAGACTTCTATAATAATTATATAAAAAAAAGGTTTGTAAGTGGATGTCGCTCTGCTGTACAGTAGGTTACAAGTGGGTCACTGTATAATGGATGCTATTAAATTTGAATTCAATGATACATATCATTGTATAAGAAAAACGATTCTGAGCAAAGACGGTATGTCAGTCTAGATTTAAGACTTATTATATACATATCTATGGCATTAAAAACAAATTGACCTATAATAAATTCCAAATTAATCATATCACAATATCCATTAGGTACTTACAGGGCCGGCTCAATGTGGTAGCAAAATAGGCAGCCGCCTAGGGCGGCACTAGTGTGGGGGCGGCAAATTTCAAATGAACCAAAGTGATTTAATTATTATAAATTATAATATAATATAGTCTGCTGAATTGTATGTTCATTACTCAAATATACAAAAAAAGTTTACCGAGAACGCACTAAAGTCGTAATACTGCATGAATATAAATAGAACGGCGATAACAATACATGCATTAGTCGACCACAGACGAATGCACGTTCTTATCGAGTTTAAAATTATTATTTAATTGGAAAATAATTGTCAATGACACAACGGCATTTAGTCCCGGACTTTCAGCCGCCCGCCGAACACGTAAATAATTTTTGCCGTAAAAAAATAATGAAGTTTTAAATAATCCAGAAACACATTCTAAAATTATTTCAGAAGAACCAAATACCTTAGAAGTTACTGACAGTTTAAAAGAAGTTGGTAACTCAGAACAAATTTCCGATAGCATTGACATTTTCAATAATGAAATAAACATAACGTTGGAAGAAAATGCGAGTATTAAATCTAATGAAAATGAAAATAACATATCTGACCCCGGGACATGGCCAGCGATTTTTTCAAATTCATTACGACTTCAATTAGTAAAAACAGGTCCCATTAAACCAAATAAAGATTTTAAATATCCTAGAGATAAAACATTTTATTTTTTTTTAATTAAACAAGGGTTCATAGATAAAAATGAATGTCCTTATTTTATCAATACACTCCTCTCCAAAAAAATAACTATTGCATAGGGCAGCTTAAATCAGATTTGCCTAGGGCGGCAAAAAACCTACGGCCGGCCCTGGGTACTTATAACACGTTATACAACAATAACAAACCCTGATACTATCATAGATATATAATATAGTGCACTTTAGAAGTTTCAAGCACCCACGAATAGTATTATACACTCACAACAAAATAACTAAAATAGGTATGCTAGGTTTTTTAATATGTTATTTCGTCCCAAATTTGAACTTAAAATGTCTGTAAAAAATAACTTTGCTCATATATTTTTTAGATTTTTTGGATACAGTATGAACTATTTTTCAGAATCTTTTTTTTTTAATTTTCAATCCTTAGCTATAAAAAGGTGGGTAAGTGGATGTCGCTCTGCTGTACAGTAGGTTACAAGTGGGTCACTGTATAATTGATGCTATTAAATTTGAATTCAATGATACAATATCATTGTATAAGAAAAACGATTCTGAGCGAAGACGGTATGTCAGTCTAGGTTAAGACAAATTATATACATATCTATGGTATTAAAAAAAAATTGACCTATAATAAATTCCAAATTAATCATATCACATTATCACAATATCCATTAGGTACTTATAACACGTTATACACCAACAACAAACCCTGATACTATCATATATATAATAGTACACTTTAGAAGTTTCAAGTAGGTACCCACGAAGAATATTATATAATCACAACAAAATAACTAGGTTTTTTAATATGTAATTTCGTCAAAATTTGAACATAAAATGACTATAAAAATAAACTGTGATTGTATATTTTTTAGATTTTTCGGTAAGAGAATTAACTACTTACGTGGAATCTTGTTTTAAATTTTCAATCCTTAGCTATAAAAACTGAACATTTTATAATTTATTAATTACGATGATTAATAATTTTCGAGATTTTGAAAAATTCTGTCAAAATTCGATGTTAAAATGCTTATAAAAAAAAATTGTGCCTATGTATTTTTAATATTTTTCAACTGATATTGTAACAATATATCAGGAGCCTTGTATTCAATTTTTACACTTTTTGGCCCAACAGATAAAACTTAATTGATATTTATAGAAAAAAAAAACTAAAAAAATTGAAAACTGAAAATGTCCGTAAACGGCTCAAAAAGTGTCAAAATATTTTCAAAATTGTAGGGTGTATAGGAATTGCTAATATAAACATTCAGTGAAATTTTCATGTATCTACAGTAATTCGTTTTTTAATTACAACAAAAAAAGGAAATTGCCACATGAGAAATCGAGTGAATATCCAATGTTGTAAAAATTTGAATTTCAAACGCTCATAAAAATTTAATTTGACTTTCCGGTAGAGATTTTTTTATTGATAAAGGTAGACAATCTTATGAGTAATCTTGTATTATATTTTCAAATCTTAGATTTAAAAAGAAAAATTTTTACGAATTCTTAACTCAAAATAATTTGCTAAATTTCGTGATTTTTCCATATTTTGTCAATTTTTGAACTTTAAATGCTTATAAAAAAAAATTGTGACTAAGGATTTTTAATATTTTTCATCTGCCTTTGAAACAATATATTAGGAGCCTTCTATTAAATTTTCAAGCTTTCGCAACCAACAAATAAAATTTTATTGATATTTCTAGAAAAAAAACTAAAAAAAAACTAAAAATGAAAATGTCCCTAAACTGTTCAAAATAAATCAAAATATTTTGAAAATGTTATCGTGTATAGAAGATGCAAATATAAACAACCAGTGAAAATTGCATGTACCTACGGTCATTTGTTTTAAAGTTACACCAAAAACCAAATTCGATTTTCTGAAAAATCGATTTTGCGTAAAAATTCCCGTTTTTCCTTAATTTTTCTTTTGTTTTTTCTTGGCGCTTTTGAAAAGTACTAGGAATTTTGACCTCCCCAATGCACCAACGATATTCACTTTCCAATCGAACAAGATACTGAAGTCGAAAATCGAAGCATTATTTCGACTACTTATCGTGTACACAGACACAAAAAAAATAAATATAAAAATAAAAAAAAATAAAAAAAAAAAACACACATCATTGTAAAATCAATACATTCATCGTTTCACTCAGAATCTAAAACTGAACATTTTATAATTTATTAATTACGATGATTGATAATTTTCGAGATTTTGATAAATTTTGTCAAAATGCGATCTTTAAATGCTTTTAAAAAAAAATCAATTGCTATTGTAACAATATATCAATAGCCTTGTATTAATTTTTAACACTTTTTGGCCAAACAGATAAAACTTTATTGATATTTATAGAAAAAAAACTAAAAATACAACTAAATGTTGAAATCGCAATAAAAAATAATGTCATACTCAGAAATTGTTGGATTTTCCTCACTATTATAATCAGTATCCAAACTATATTCCAACAATTCGGATCCATTTTCTTGACCAAATCCAAATGACGATTCAACTACTTTCTGCCTTTTACTTTGTGGTGTACTAGTATTTTCAGGAGCAAACGGACTTACGTGTTTCTCAGCGGTAAAAATTTGTGAATTACTATATTAAGTTTTTAGATTCAGAACAGTGATGAATGTACTGATTTTACAATTATGTGTATTTTTTTTTTCTTTGTGTCTGTCATTACTTTTTAAAGCGGTAATACCTAGTGATTTAATTTTTGACTTCAGTAACTTTTGTAAAAGGAACTTGTTAGTACTTTGCGGATTGTCAAAATTTAAAATTCCCAATATAATTTTCAAAAGCGCCGGGAAAAACAACATGAAAATTAAGGAAAAGCGGGAATTTTTACGCAAAATCGAATTTACAAAAGATCGATTTTGGTTTTCGGTGTAAATCTAAATTTTTACTGGTCGTTTATATTAGCATTTTCGATACACGATAAAATGTTCAAAATATTTTGATTTATTTTGAACTGTTTAGGGACATTTTCAGTTTCCAATTTTATTAGTTTTTTAGATTCTGAGTGGAACGATGAATGTATTGATTTTACAATGATGTGTGTTTTTATATATTTTTTTTAATTTTTTAATTTTTTTTTTGTGTCTGTGTACACGATAAGTAGTCGAAATAATGCTTCGATTTTCGACTTCAGTATCTTGTTCGATTGGAAAGTGAATATCGTTGGTGCATTGGGGAGGTCAAAATTCCTAGTACTTTTCAAAAGCGCCAAGAAAAAACAAAAGAAAAATTAAGGAAAAACGGGAATTTTTACGCAAAATCGATTTTTCAGAAAATCGAATTTGGTTTTTGGTGTAACTTTAAAACAAATGACCGTAGATACATGAAATTTTCACTGGTTGTTTATATTTGTATTTTCTATACACGATAACATTTTCAAAATATTTTGATTTATTTTGAACTGTTTAGGGACATTTTCATTTTTCATTTTTTTTTAGTTTTTTTTCTAGAAATATCAATAACATTTTATTTGTTGAGTAAAAATACTTGAAAATTTAATGCAAGGCTCCTACTATATTGCTTCAAAGGCAGATGAAAAATATTAAAAATTCTTTGTCACAGTTTTTTTTTATAAGCATTTCAAGTTCAAAAAAGGTGGGCAAGTGGGTGTCGCTCTGCTGTACAGTAGGTTACAAGTGGGTCACTGTATAATGGATGGTATTAAATTTGAATTCAATGATATAATATCATTGTATAAGAAAAACGATTCTGAGCGGTGATGGTATGTCAGTCTATGTATAAGGCATATTATATACATATCTATGGTATTAAACAAAAAATTGACCTATAATAGGTACCTATAATAAATTCCAAATTAATCATATCACAATATCCATTAGATACTTATAACGCGTTATACATCAACAAAAACCGTGATACTATCATAGATATATAATAGTACACTTTAGAAGTTTCAAGCACCCACGAATAATATTATTC